TTTAATTTTAATTTTAATTTTAATTTTAATTTTAATCTTAATCTTAATCTTAATCTTAATCTTAATCTTAATCAAAATTTCCATGTATACACATTAGGCCATGTTGATTTGATTATGTTGATAAGGAGAGTGGAGTCCAATGTGGCAAGCAACTGTCATCTTCATATCAACTTTGTGTTCTTTTTTTATCAGTATTTAGTACATGTGGAAAGAGCTGAAGACGTTTTGAACTTCACATTCGATACCATCCTCCACATTATTTATGATCCCAGAGATCGGCCTTTTCACATTTTTCAATCAATCAATCAATCAATCAATCAATCAATCAAATGGTTTATTTGTAAAAACAAAGCCTTGTAGCCATCGGCTAAATTGTGCCTTGCTGTACAATTTTGATTTTTGACATATCTGGCATAACACACTAAAATTACTAGTTGATCAATAAAATCCATATCATTATACATTGACATACTTAAAAAGAACAGTTACAATTTTAACATTTTTCTTTACTTCTTTGTATTTTTACGTGCTGTGATAGCCGCGTTACGTGCTTTGAAAAGGACCTTATCATCCACCATTGACGAATTGCGCAGACAGTACTCTAAGACTGCCGATCTCATCTTAGGGTGTGCGTGGACGTTTGAAGTCTGCGTTAAGAAGTCGAGAAGCAGTCTTCCCGTCTCCGAATCCTCCTTGTAGCACTCTGCGATGTTGATGTCAACGTCGACTTCAGCTATGACGTAACTGATGCCCATGGATTCGAGGGACCTTGTGACGTCACCGGAAGTAATATGTGACGTCTGCAGGCGATCTCTATCGTTTTCGTGTGGAAACCACTTCCACATTTCATGCTGCAGTTCCCCCTGGCCTATTTTGTCTGCAAATATACGCGTGTGCTGATGATTAGTTCTCCAAACTGTTATTTTAATTGAAATTTTATTAAATTTATTAAATTTAGTACTCCATATGAAATTTATGAAATTTATGAAATTTATGAAATTTATGAAATTTATGAAATTTATAAAATTTATAAAATTTATAAAATTTATGAAATTTATCAAATTTATCAAATTTATCAGATTTATCAGATTTATCAAATTTATTGAATTTATTAAATTTATTAAATTTATTAAATTTATTAAATTTATTAAATTTATTAAATTTATTAAATTTATTAAATTTATTAAATTTATTAAATT